CCCTCTCTTGGGAATTACAAAGTACCAGGAGTAAAAGCCGTGCTGGCTGTCCTCCGCCGGCAGAATTCGAATGGCTCTTTTCCTTATTAAAGCGGCTATTTCTTCCTCTAAAACTTGAGCGGACTCCCCTTCTGTGGCTGACATCAACACACTGTTGAACACTGGTGGTTTTACAGCAAACTGCAGATGATAACCCTTCAGTATCGTAGATAAAACCCAGTGGTGTACTGCGCATGCGCGCCAGCTCTCCGTGTGAGCAGCGAGCGGACCGCAGCGGCTCTCACCCACTAATGGCGCGGTCGCGCCATCTAGCGGGGGAGCTGGGGATTGCAGCTCTGAATTGAGTAATTTTGGTTTTGTGTGTGTTTTTATTTTCAAACCTTGCTGTGCCCTCGACCCACTGCCTGGATGCACAGGGATTTTTTATTTATTTTCACACCACACATATTTTCTTGTGAACTGCCCTCTGCCCTTTCCGGCAACTCCGAGGGTGGAGGGGGGAGAACTTCTTTGTGGGGCACTGGTGCCAACTCCACACCTGAACTGGTCAAAAGAGAACTTTTTGACATTTCCTTGAACGATTCCCAAGTCCAACGCCTTCTCTTGGCGGGAGGGGGAGAAAATAACCACTCTTTTTGAGGGAGGATAACAACAGATACTCCACGAGTGCTGTTGCTCGTCCCCTCGTCCAGAACATGAGGACGGGTTAGGTTGCCCGCCGTTTCTTCCCTCCCTGAGGGTTCGCCGGTCTGTGTCTAGCTGCCGCTGCTGCAAAGGAAGGTTTTCCCCTTGGCTGTGCTGGCCTAGGCTGTGCCTCAGTCTGCTGAGGCTGGGGAGGTCTGGGGCTCCTGAAAGCCGGCTGACCACTTCTGAGGGGGGCATCAAAACCAGGGCGTGCTAATGAAGAAGCCTTAGGAATGGGTTTTCGGGGGAGGCAAGCTTAGAAAGTCTCACTCTCCTGCTTCCTCAGATCACACCGCTGGCGCATAGCAGTGACTGATGCTCCGAAAAGGGCGTTGGGCTCAACCAGGGCATCCAGGAAATCAGCTTTCTCTCTGTCAGATAGCCCTGAAAGTCCCAGCCAGAGAGCTTGCTCGCCCACCACTGCCAAGCCCATGCTGCGGCCGCAGCTCTGGACTGCCCCCCTGGAGGTTCTCAGGTTGAGATCGGCAATAACGCAGATCTCTTCCCAGAGAGCTGGGTTTGGTGACCATCCATTTGCCTGAAAGTCCCAGCCAGAGAGCTTGCTCGCCCACCACTGCCAAGCCCATGCTGCGGCTGCAGCTCTAGACTGCCCCCCTGGAGGTTCTCAGGTTGAGATCGGCAATAACGCAGATCTCTTCCCAGAGAGCTGGGTTTGGTGACCCATCATCCATTTGTCTCCCCATCTCCTCCATGAGCTCTGCTTGATAAGCAGTGAGGAGAGAGGTAGCATTCAGAGCCCTCACTGCCAGAGCAGAGGAACGATAGATTTTCGGAAAAGCTGAGGCTGTTAAGCGCTCAGTACGTCTTGGCAGTGAAGCTGAGGCAGAAGAAAAAGCTGCTCTGCGATTAGGGTTAAGATGATGTGCCACTGACAGCTCAACAGGACATCCTTTTTGTCCTTTTTGTCAACATTTGACATCCCTAGCTCCTCCATGTTGTGCGCATCCAGTCTGGAAAACCCCTTCACAGGAACCCTGTGTGAAAAGGGTTTGTCCCAGAAACGCTTCATTTCTGAAACGCACGCGGGGACTGCAGGAATTACCGTTTTAACAACCGGGGCACGCGACGGCAGTCGCTTGCCGTCATATAGGTCTCTCTCCTTTCCCTGGCCCACCTGCTGCGACGGCCATTCAATAGAAAGTTTTGCAGCTGCCCTCCTGCACATTTCGATCAGGTCGAGCTCCACTTGAGCCGAGGCCAGGGACCCTTCGCTTAACGTGCTTCCCTAGCGATCGCTTCGTCATCATCCTCCTCCTCCTCTCTTCCCTCTGACAAGATCGGGAAAAGAGGGGTAAGTTCGGGGGAGACTTCATCCATAAACTCGCCCCAACTACATGACACAGGCTGGACGACATGTTTGGTCGACGGAGAAAGGGAGGGGTCTCCTTTATTAGCAGCCGCCACCCACACTCTTCTCTCCAGAACCCTTGATGGGAGAAGGAAACAGTGCGGACAGCACTCGGGGTTCGCGAGTGCTGCTTGAGCATATCTCACCCCCAGGCATACAATACATAGGGGATGAGAATCCCTGCTTGAAATACTTGCTCCGCATGCACAAGGACACGAGGCATCTTTCCCCGTCGCAGCCCCGCTTGCGGAACTAATAGTCGTGTCCATACTTTATCAAGCCGCTAAGCTCACCACAACGTGTCGCTTAGAAAAAAAAAGACAGACCAGAAAATTCGTCGTAACACATTAATTCGCTCGTTTGTCCTTAACAATAGTTTCCACCTTGACAGTGAAAAACACCCGCTCTCAGAAAATGCCGCGTTCGGCGACGTACCTTGACGGCTCGTCTAAGAACAGTTAAGTAGCTAATCCAGAGGGCAACCTAGAATTTAGCTTCCAAAAAATCTTCACGGGGAAGAGAACGAGAATGAGGTAGGGACCGTTATGCGGTGATATATATAGGGAGGCGGGACTCCCGCATCACTGTCGTGATTGGTCTGTCAACTGGCGGACGTGGTGTAATTGGTGCTTCCAGGATTTGTCACGCCCGAGGCGATTCCCATAGTGAGATACCGAACGAATGTTTGAAAGAGAACTGACTTAACCTGCATGATGACACTGTTGTCTTCTATAGAGCTGCTTTACAGCTGAATTGACTGCATTTCATAATTGATGAATTTTGCAACATCAATACCATTATATAACTGACATTATTTATTTGTGCACATCATTATTTTTTTAGAATTAATCCTCATAATATTTAATAATAATTTTAAAATAATTTCCTCTCCCCTTACAAATACATCTCCTCTCTGATGACGTGCGCACACTAAAAAGGCAAAAAACAAGGAGATTCACACAATCTCAGTGGGTTGGCAAAATCGCATTGCACAAATGCTAATTTTAACAATTTTAACCAAATGGCCTTTTTAAGTTAAAGACATGGACTACAACTAAATCAACATATGTCTTAATTTGACACAAAGTCTGGTATATTTTCTTCTCTTCTGTATTTTCTAACAAGTTCTTCGAGAATACTTCAGGCATCCTTCATTTACAAGATTCATGAGTCTGAGCTCAGACATTTAATCATTTAGCAGACAAGCTATTTACTATTTATAAGAGAAAAATCACACTGACTTCCTCCATGGAATCAATGATCTTTGACAGCTGCACATCTTTCAGGGCTTTCAAAGTGCGAGCCCTGATGGAAACAATTAAAAACCACATACAATAATAATACACTAATATATACAAACAGTGAGAACCAAAGCACACAACATGTAAAGCATCTGCTATTTTACTAATACAGGCGAATTACAGGATTGAGGTAAAGTGGTGCCAGAATGTCTTACGTTTTCAGGAAGCCCATGAGTTGCTCTCTTTTCTTCTTTGATTTGTTGGTCATGATGCTTCGATATGTTTGTCTCTCAATACACCATAACTTCACCGTAGTGATGGCTGTGGGAAAGAGAGCATCGAAATGCTTATTTACCACACCAGCAGAGGGCAACCCAAATCAGCCATCACTCCAAAATAACATAACAAGTGACCTCTGACAGATGCTGTGCGTTTACAGTTGTATAGAATGGCCAGTTCCCCAAACACATCGCCGGAGCTCAAAGTTCGCAGATCACGTCCAGCCTGAGTAACCTTCAGCTCCCCCTCTAGAATAAAAATGGAATTTAGGCTCATCAATTCATTATTTTCATCACATTTTATTTAAGACTGAGCTGGCTGAAATAGAAGACTTGTCATGTCATGAAAATGAAAATGTCATGAAATTCACTACAGTATGCAGGGCCGGATTAACATAAGGGCTAGGAGGGACTGAAGCCCCAGGGCCCGCGAATTAAGGATGTGGAACGTGATGTGGAGGAAAGGGAAAGTAGACCTAGAATTGAGTGGCCATCGGGAGCACCCGAGCTTTTCCCAGTGTGCCGATTTGCCAAAATCCCACCACGCCCCCACATATTAGTGTCTGCGCTATTTCAGTCCAAAAGAAATGAGCGATAAAAATGTCTTTGTACTCGTTTACACTAGAGTTGTGGGTATCTTTTAATCGCCTTGGCTTTACTGTAGCGCATGGGAAACAAACTCTAAAAGTCAAGTGATGAAACGGCACTATGTTAACCAGACGCGGACTTAACCATTAGGCAAAGGTAGGCGACCGCCTTGGGCCCCCAAAAGCCAAGGGCCCCCTAAAATGCTTTTTATATGCGAGATGCGCGTTCAGTGCGGACGCACAAGTGGTTGCTCTGGTGTTCATTACCACGACAACCGTCTGTAATGCTTTTGTGGGATTATGTACACAAAGCAGTGTGTGTGAAAAGTGTCTAGTGCGCATAGAGGAGAGTGTGTTTCTACAGGTGGTTTGTACAGGCCCTGTAGCACACTTCGAATTGTTTCAGAAATGTTTCAGACAGTTTTTCTTGTGATGTGGTAAGGTTGGGGGTGGAGGAGGTAAGATGGTCCATGTTTCAGGAGGTTGGGGGTTTGTTTGGGGTTTCAGAGGAGGGCGGGGTGATTTGAGTTCAGGGCTCTCACAGCCTGGGGGAAAAAGCTGTTGAGCAGTCTGGCGGAGCGGGCTCTGATGCTCCGGTACCGTCTTCCTGATGGTAGGAGCTGGAAGAGACTGTGGGAGGGATGGGTGGGGTCCTTCACGATACTGTTGGCTTTGCTGGAGCATCGTGCAAGGAAAATGTCCAGGATGGAGGGGAGAGGGGCACCGATGATCTTTGCAGCTGTGTTCACTGTCCGCTGGA